GGTGAGGGACCTGGATAAGGGCTGGGGGGCGTTGGCCCAAAAAAGTTTGAGAAACACTGGTTTATATGAAAGTCTCTTGCAGCTGCATTAAACTCTTTGATGAGACAAAACAAGTGCAGGTTAACATCCTATTTCTTTGAATGCACAATAGGAACCTTGGCAGGCAGTTTGTTTACTTATGATAAAAAGTGTCTCATATCTGCAGAAGTCTCCAGGAATAGGAAGAACTCTAATCTACCAACCTTAAACAGCTTTTAGCTACTTGGGTCTAATGACATAGCTCTCATGTTGTCTAAAACTGTGCACCTGATTGGCTGCTGCTACCTCCATCATGTTCAAAAGAGAAACTTTGTTACTCCCATTCCAGCAAGTAGCTGGGCTAAATCAGTTTATCATACCTGATCACACTGTTCACTTTTCTGCAAGTAAAGTCTCCATTTTTTTTGGTATAAATGCCTTCAGCATGCTCAGCATTATTCATTTATTCAAGGGCATCCTCCGGTTCTGAACCCAAAGTAAAAAGACACTCTTAAAGTCACGACCAGAAGAAACCAGACCACAGAACAATGACGTTAACTACCAGGACTCTGAATCAGAGTATCTCTTTTAGTTTGGTCCATTTATTAAAATCATTGGAATACCAGGCATGACATTTTTCTCCAATTGTTCATGTTTATTTGTCTTTCAATGCTGATAGATCAGGAAAAAATAGGAATGTTTCTCCTACATTTTTTAACTCCTTGGAAAAGGTAAGAACTCATTTTTAGATAAATTAACTTTATTGACAAGCTATGAGACTGATTTTCTTTTTGATATGAAAGAGAACATTTGGTTTCTGGGTCTTAAAGCCATTTAAAGTAGCTGCGAGTTGCTAAAGTTGTCACACGGCAAATCTCTGGGAAAGTTTTCCAGTGGAAGTCAAACTGGAGAAAGAAGTTAAAGGTGAAAGTTAGAAATCAATAAGGAGTCAGAGAGATGGAAAGACAAACCAAAGAGTTATATATGTGGGAGACATGGCTGTGGGGGCGCCTGGGTGCAGGAAATAGGTTGAGGTGTTTCAGGAAGTTGTCAAGAATTGAGTGATTGGCTCCAGATGGGGAAGGTCATGCTCCGTGACCCAGGAAGTGGTCACAAGGGACTCCTCGAGCTCACTTCCTCTGCCGTCTTTCAGCACCAGCGGCCTCTCTCTGGCATTCTCCTTTGCCCGGCAAAGCCTTGTGTCCGGCTGCCCCCGCCCCTCTCCGTCCTCGTCTCCCACCGTGTTTGCTTTAACTCCTGTGGTGTGACACATGCTGAGAAGTTATGAGTACACGAGCGCTCCAAACTCTGGGCCTCTGGGTTAAAAGGTGATCAGGGCTGGGCAGGAGTTCGCTGCTTGATCGATAATTTACAGTTATTTTCCTTCCCCTTCCACCACCTATGGAACATATGTCTTTTTCCCCTCTCTTTTGCTTTGCTCCTTCACCTGCAAAACTTTTCATTATGTGTGTCTTTTAAAGGCAGATGAAGGTTTATTATACATGTCATTTAAAAATATGTCCTGGAGCATATAAATATTGTAAATAATGAAGACAAAAACTTGGGACTATCCCCTTGTTAAGTGTATAAGGTGCCACCTATGGGGTGCAGATGTAAGTGGGGACAGGCAGTAGGCAGAAAATCACATTATGGGTGCCATATATCATCCACTGCTCCAACAACCAGCTGAAATAGGAGATTCGGTTCATATGTTTGTTGTCATTGAAGGATTAAGAGGAGACAACGTGAGCCTGCTGCGTGCTGTATGAATCAAAAAGTTAGTCCAGAGCCAGAGGGAGAGGCCATATGGTGACCCAGCGGAGGAGTGAAGGGGTGTGAGAGCCCCAGAATGCAGATGTGTTGTGGAAATCCCTGAGACGTCAGATCATCCATTAAGAAATATGACCGTCACCTGTACAGAAAAACTAATTGTTGCCCTGGGATTTTCACACTTGTAACTTGATATTTTGACTCTTAGCCTGCAGTCTAAATGCTTCATCTACGCTCATGCGTCTTCCTCTTGGCCCCCTTTGTCCTCTCGCTCAGGTGGTCTTGTCCAGCACAGTGAGTGTAGATGGACATGTCCTGGCCGTGTCGGACAACATGTTCGTCCACAACAACTCAAAACACGGCCGGCGAGCTCGCCGACTGGAGCCGGGAGAGTCTGTGGAGAATACCATGGAATATGGTAGGACAATAAGATGAGAGGTTTAATTAACCTGCTTATAGTCAGAGTTTCGTAAAAGTATTTATACGCTTTTTCGTCATTTGTCACGTTAAACACACTACGTATTTTATCTGAATCAAAGAGTTTCACATATTTGAGAGGCAAAGAAGAGTTAATTTACAAGATTTATTAAAACAAGCCTAAAACTTACACTAGTAATCTTTCATTTCTGCAGATCATTTTTCCAACTCTATCCGGACATTTGTCCTGTACTTAACCCAACTTTTAAATGAGGATGTCTGTGCATGATGCATGACTTTAAGTCACACAAACTCTTTTCAAGCAGCTGTTCTAGCCTAAGATAACATAAATTTATGTTTTGATTTTAACCTTCAAACCTTTTTCACTCAGTCCACACAGTGCAAAAAGTTGTAAAAGTGTCCATAAACTGAACTTTTTCACATTTTGTCACAATACAATCACAAATCAATGTATTTAATTTGGGTTTTATGTAATGGTCCAAGACAGTCATTAATGTACATCTGACATCCCCACAGTGAAAGATGACAGTGGCAGCATCATGATGTGGGAATGCTTCCTGTAGCATGAAATAAAAACCACGTCTCCTTTTTATTTTGCTCTATCACATAAAAAAAAAAACATGAAAAAATATGAACAATTAATGAATACCGCTGGAGGGCGCATACATGTAAAGTATGCCTAACACTTTTACCCTCATTTCTTTACTTTTATTGATTGCCACTGCAGATCGTGTTAATGAAGCTTTTCTCTCCCGTCTCAGCCACCCCATGCATCAAAGCCATCAGCCCCAGCGAAGGCTGGACCACCGGCGGGGCCATGGTCATAGTCATCGGGGAGAACTTCTTCGACGGGCTGCAGGTGGTGTTTGGAAGCATGCTAGTGTGGAGTGAGGTAAGAGTTGTCTTCGAAACATCCCGCTAATGATGCTGCACATTGTGAAATGAAATGCGCAGCATATGGCTTGTCTCATTATTTGGGTGATTTATGAGCAGTCTTAACAATTGAATATTCCCACAGTAATGAGTTAGCCTAAATATTTACAAGACGTGGGGAGGCGTTTTTTTTTTTTTTTTTTTTTTTTTTGGGGCCCCCTTTTTTGTTTTTTTCTCCCCCGTTTCACCCCCCCCCCCCTTTTGGGGG